GCGCAATCTTGAACACGACGTTTTTGCAACTTATGTGTAACTGAGAAAAACTCTTTTGATATGACATTTAACATCCAAAAATCTAGCTAACTCAGGTATGTGTCGGGGCAAAATTGTTCCATAAAATATGAAAATTTCACTTCATTTTGGAAGTTCTAAATGAAATTTTATCGTTAATGTCCAAACAAATCAGGCCTTGCAAATGACATCAAAAGTGGGGAGGAGTTTCCTTTCAAACTTTTTTTTAAGTTTTGCCCCTGAAACAACAGGTATAAACCTAAGAAATTTTAAACTGGCTACAGAGAAATAATATGCATCCAGAGTACTTGACTTTTAATTTAAAATAAATTCGGAGAGAAAAGGGATACACAGGTAAGGTCGATTTGTAGTCATTAAGGTGTGAGAAATCAATCACGTCAAAAATGACGATCATCTGTTGTACATGTAGATAATGAACTCCATAAAGCAAAATATCAAATCAAACAATGATGTTTCCAAATGTATAAATAAATTTGGAATATTATATTCATTGAAAGCCAATGTTCACGACAGTGTAAAGTCATATAAACAAGGGGGGTTTAAGTCCTTTCTTAAATCCAGGGAAATCGCATCCAAAAATGTGTATGAGGTAGAAGAAACTGATTGAAAAAAAAAAACAATGACGTTGTCGGACGTCATGAAAATAAACGACGACAGCGCCGAGTGATCATAAAATGTGTTTTATTTTATAATAATTTGGCAAATAATGAACGTATCAAGCTAATTTCTTTAATTTTTGTTGTTTTACGTTTCAAATAAATTTTGAAAGCACATACTACATAGTACTAATTTTATAGCCTCAGTTCACAAACTATTTGATAACCCCTAGTATTTATATCATGCTATCTGCATAGACTGTACTGATGGCATGTCAAACGTTGCAATATTCCATCTTTATCATTTATATTGTATAATTTTTCATTTGTATTGTATAAATTTTTATTTGTATTCTATAATTTTCCAATTGAAATGTATAATTTTCCACTTGAAGTGCATAATTTTCCACTTGAAGTGTATAATTTTCCATTTGAAGTGTATATTATCCTATCTGTATTGTGAAATTTCTTATTTGTATTCGATAACTTTTTATTTGTATTGTTTCCGAGGAATGTTTATTTATTAAATGGAAAAGATCGGATACTGCAACGTTTGACTTGCCATAAGTATTTCATGCAAAACAATCTAACTCTTGTAATTATCATAATATTTTATGATTATCACTTCAAATGCTAAATAGCATAACATTTTCCTTAAAAAATGTCAAACATATGGAACTTTTTAGCTTTTTAGTAAAGTAGGTCAAAGGACAATATCAGTGTTACGAGATCAGTAATCATGGCAATGTACAAATGTAACAAGTACTTTTTTTTTTACAATATACTCGAATAATATGTTCAATGTTCCTTAAGATTGTGAATTTTTAAAATATACATTTTCAATACTAGATTAATTAATATTGTGACGATTTATATGAACACAGATATGGTCTGACGGCACATGAACAAAATCCTTAATATTTTTTTTACATTTAAGTACGACTTTAAGGAGGCTATTGGGTCAACTAATTAATTTTTAATTAACTAACAGATTTAACTCAAATTTTGCTATATGATACTAGTATCTTAAGCTATCAACTATCATCTGGCAAAGAAAAATTTCATATATTTTAGCTTTAAAATTTGTTCATTTTATTATATCTTTATATGGAGCTCTTCTTGTAAAGGAGATCAAAATAGTCTAAATATGGCCACAACTACCCAGCCTCTTTGAACAATAAACATGACAACAATCATCTGGTTTTTATTTAAATCTGACTTCGATGTTTTACAAAATGCCAAAGAAATAAAAACAAATATTAAATGTCATAATGAATATAATATTAAATAATATAAATATTAAATAATATAATAAGGAGTACTATTGGAGGAGAAAGATTGTTTACAGACAAACAGACAGCTAGCTAGACGGACAGACAAATGACGGTCTATAATATCACATAAGCTCCTCTGGTTTTAACCAGTAGAGCTAAAAAGTAGGTCACATTGAATAATTTAAAGGTGATATATGTTGATGCCTTCAGGTGCCTAGACACAAATGTGATATTAACATTTTCTGTATAATATCACGACTTATATATTGTAATAGCATTTCCCACGAAATTATATATAATTTTTTTATCATACTCCCTGCATTCAAGGGTATTTATACTGCATTAATTCTTAATGATGTCCCCTTTAACATGTTTAAGTCCTTCTATTGGGGAAAATGTAATCCCCTTTACACTAGCATTCTCTGTGCCAAGTTTGGTAGAAATTGGCAAAGTGACTATACGGAGAGGAGAAAAGGAAATTCTGAAAAGCTCATACTGTAACAACAAGAAAAACGTTGACAAAATGCAACAACAACAGACAAATTTTGATCAGGAATGCTCACTTGAGCCTTTGGCTCAGATGAGTTAAAAATTACATTTTTAACATGTATCTTTCAGTATTTAATGAAGCATCAATGTGACAATTATTACCTGATTTTCCATTGTCCTTCATGAGTAGTCCATTCACTTTTATTTGTTCAACTGTTTTAAAATATTTTAAAAATGAGTAAGAAAGTCTTGCATTTGTTTAAAATTGTAAGTTTAAATCAATGATCCCATGCCATGATGTGCATGAATGAATGAACGAATAATTTTCATAAGTTTGCTAAAATGGATGCTGATACATATGATAATTAATAATAAATAACCAATATGAAATACAGGTACACTTTTAATTAATACAGATCCGCGTAATAGATATCCTGAGTAGGGATCGAATTCTGATGCCAGTTGCTTATAAAGTGAAATAACATAAACTGGAGGGGGTGTGGGGGGGGGGGGTGCACTGACATGTACTGAATGGTTGCTTCAACTAAATTAACTTATTATATAATTAGTTTATCATTAATTGATAATAAAAATGATTGATTGATTTTTATTGTTTAACGCCGAGGCGGCAATATTTCAGCCATATTTCGGCGGTATAATCACAATTGATAATATCAAAATTACCTAGTAATGCAGAGAGATAAGGTCTTTCAGATATAGGTTTGCATTTTCTTTGTGCATAAATTACAGCTAAAGCATTTCCAACCATTAACAGAATGACTCCAACAGTGATTCCAATGATAAGTCCCAAGTTTATATCTTCCATATCTGACCTATAAATGAAGGGAACAAAAGAGCAAGCATTGATAAATCTCTTCTCAAATAAAACATAATATAAACTGTATTCTTCATCACTTTAATCATAACTATTAATTGATGCTAGTAAATGAATAATTGATGCTCTTGACTATTGATTCATATTTTATGAAATACCCGGTAAATGAATATGGGGCTCAAGGTTTTCAATGAGAAATGGCAACATGTGCATATATATATATATATATATATATATATATATATATATATATATATATATATATATATATATATATATATATATATATATATATATTTTTTTTTTTTTTTACAAGATATATGAATAAAGTCATTAATATCACTAACCAATTGTTTTTACACTATATTATTTTATCATAATGAAATAAATAAATTAAAGCTAGCTACAGGTGAGGCCCGAAGGCTCAAATGACAAATGACCCAGGGATGGGGTAATTGAATAAAGTAATTGTAATTGAGTGTAATTAATTACATATTTCAATGTAATTGGAAGTAATTTGTATTTGAGTGAGCTTTCAATTACAAGTAATTGAATGTATTTAAATACATTTCATAAAAGGTCATGTATTTTCAATTACTTTTCAATTACATTTCAATTACTTTTTTCAAAATAAAAGTTTATAAAAAGTTTATATACTGATACACAGTTTTTACACTGGTCGATATATACTGCCTATTTCCACTTTTTGAAAATCTCAATTCTACCTATTCCCCACTTGAAAGTAACAATAGATGGTTTAGATAGTTAATTTGTTTTTACAATAATTATAGACTAACTACATCCTCTTTAAGATTTACATGTGCATGTATTCTATACATTTTAAGATAGAAAATACTGAATAAATTTGTGAGAAATATTAATTTATTTTATTCAAAAACATGGATTCAAGAAAGTAACAAACTTCTTGTCATACACCATGCTGGTGTAGCATGGGCTTGTGTTTGTACAATAATTAAATGTCTCATTGTGTTTAATTTAATTTGTTTATACAGTGTGTCACACTGCCCATTTAGTCATTATAGGTAAAGGTCAAAATTGGTCTAGGTGTGAACCCCTGTTATATCCAAGAACAAAAACACCGAATAAAAATTCACTATAATTTTTTTTTTTTTTTTTTTTTTTTTTTTTTTTTTTTTTTTTTTACAAAAAAATCTTTCTTTTTCTTTTTTTTTAAATAAAACTCAAGTAATTGAAATGTATTTAATTACATTTGTCAAAGTAATTGAAAGTAATTAATTACATTTGAAAAAATCAAAGTAATTGTAATTGCAAGTAATTGACAAAATTATCAATGTATTTGAAAGTAATTAATTACATTTCAAAGTAATTGACCCCAAGTCTGAAATGACCAAATACATGTACATAGTCATTTATTTTTTTTTTTACGATATATGAATAGTCATTGATATCATTCACAAAATTTATTACACTATATATATTTTTTTCATAATGAAATAAATGAATCAAAGTGTCTGCATTCAGATGAATTTTCTATGTTTGATGATGATTATTATAAAGAACAGGTTAAGATACCAAAGGAAGGATAACTCTTTGAACAATGAATCTTCTGAAATTGAACATAGTATCTTAAAAAGTTATCTCTCTTTGCATACAAGAGCATATTACTGCAAAGTGTACAGGTAGTGTACGAGAAACAGCCGCAGAATGTGTCGATACATTTATTTCCTAGCATTGAGAAAAATAAACAAAAGGACTCCAAACAAGTACTAAAGTGACACTTGTTAATTATATAACGTACTCTTTAACCTTGGACACATTTTGAGTTGGTACATTTGTGTCAGAGGTTGGGACAGAGGCAACCGTAGTTGCATTTTGTACTGTGGATTTCTTTGTCAGCTCATAGCAACCGGGGTCTGAAAAATAAGATTATGATTATAATTTTTGTTTATATTATTCAATGACATATAATTATAATCTTTGTTTACTATCAATTTACATGTACCCGGTAAGTTATCTATAAAGATATATAATGTAGTGTGTATAGACATATGTAATTAAGGATGTCAAATTAATCAAATTTGACTGATAAAAAAATTGAATTATTCATCGGCAAGGTGCTCTTACATAAACTGATTGTGGTGATCAATATATTAAAAGGTAAAAACTGTTTCTAACTTTATATTGAAGTTCCCTTTCTTTATATCATTTTTTTTTTCAACTTATTTTTTCAAATATCTATGATTTGACTTCATGATATACAAGTAGACACACTGTAGGTTAAGTGCAAGTATTTAAATCTAAACTTCATTATGACCTATTCAGGTACAGTTGAAGTGCCAATACAAATAGTACATCTGTTTAATTAAACTGTGACAAAGTCACCCCCTTCATATTTATTTATTTATATTTTTTTCTTATTCGACAATTTAATTGATTTAAGTTTACATAATAAAAAATATCCAGTATAATTGTGTATTTCATTGAACACTTACATTTGTATGCTTCTGTGGAGTGGTAGCCACTGGGACATGGATTCTGGGTAAATTGGGAACAGTCTGTATCATAATTCTGCTGGACTATATTGCCACTGTAGCTGTACTCTGTACAATAACCTGTTAATATTGTCAAAATTAGATGTTTGTGCATATAGGTAATGTTATTGTATGATTGAATAATTTCCATCTCTCTGATTTGCTGAGATCAAACTATAATGTTAGAAAAATACTATGTTATATTTACATCCACTGAATATTTTCTCCTTTATTTCTAAAGAAACCCCATTGCGTTCATCACTGCATAAACTACAGTAGGCATGTCACTGGTACAGATTTCTTAATCAGTGGCTGTTCCATCAATGAAACGTATAAAGACGTTCGCATCATTAATACAATAATTAATCTTTCTAATCCTACTTTAATTGATTATTTAAACAGATATAAATATAAACAATAAAATGTCTTTCTTTGTTTGTTATTACTGGAATGAACGGTCGCAGCTATTGCAGAAAAAATTTACATAACCCGCTTACGCGGGTTATGTATTTTTTCTGCAACAGCAACTTCCGTTCATTCCAGTAACAACAAACAAAGAAAGCATTTTATTGTTTAAGTATTCCCGTACGAAACAGTCCGGGCGGCTTGGACACGGCCCAGGCACGGATTCCGTCTCCAGAAACCCATGCTTTAGCATTCTGTGCTCCTATGTAAAGTATGTTTGGAAAGCCGTGCCTTAAAGTGGTCTAGGCACGGACACGGCACGGGATATTGGCCGAATTATTTAAATGAGATCACACGGTTCTACAAATCCCGAGTCAGAAAGCCGTGCTAGTTTCCATATATGGACTCATGGATTCTGTAAACCCGTGTCTGTCCTTTTCCATATATGGAGACACGGTTTTTTTGGAAACCTGTGTCAAAAAAGCCGTGCTGTATACCATATAAGGAGTCACGGGATCTGAGCATTTGTTTAGATCTAGGTCATGGCCATTAGAGAATCCCCTGATATAACTGTGGATGCCAAAATGGTGACTGAAACCAAACTAACTTCACATTGTTTACATTAATGCTTAGTTTTAGAATTTTAAAAGTTAAAAATCTTTTATGAATATGTCTATTTACTTTCTGTTAAAGATTAACTTTATCAGTTACAATCCATGCTAGTTTTTAATTAAGATTTTAATGATAATGTACAATATTCAATTGTAATTTAATCTAGTAGCTAGTTAATTTTGCACAATCTAAGAAAGCATTTAATTTAAATAAAACTTTCACAAGCACAGTGATGTCACACAAAATATATACTATAAAGGATTAGTGAAAGTCCCACTTAAGTCATTCTAATATAAAACTATTTCATCATGTTCATTGTCAACATTGCAATTCTGGAAGATCATGAAAATTGAAAAATTGACGGTTATTTATTCTAGATTACACTTACTGCATTTAGTTCAAAAGTAAAGCAATTATCCCAGACTGATATAAATACAATTCCAACTGACATCTTAGTTTAATATCCTTTAACTAGAGCAAAAAAAGACATATTCTTAACTCAGGGCCATGAATCCTTCCAATTTCAGATTCAAATAATGGAAGTTATGATTGAGCATGCTCAGTAAAAACCCGTGAGATATAAATAAATAATTTGAAGCAAAACCCGCCTGAGTTAAAAACCGTCTCCCTGGGACACGGATTCCGTGCCTTCACACGGATTTCTGTGAGTGAGGATTCCTCACTTTCAGACACGGAAGCCATGTCCGTGTCTTGGACATGCAGAACCCGTGCGGCTTTTTAAAAACCCGTGCGTATTCCGTGTCTTAGCCGTGCCCTAGCCGTGCCTATTCCACCTCAAACTTTCGTACGGGTTGACCTGCACGTGACGTTCCAGGTGAATACAAGGATGTATTTCCTCTAACATTGATCTAAAAATAGATTGGGAAATTCCAAATTGATACAAATCATTTAAACAACTATGACTTTTTATTCATGTGCCCTTCGGGCTCGGTGAATATTGTACTCCTCAGATAGCTAAATCATTGTATTGACCTCAAAAACAGTAATAATTCAAGCATCTGTAATATGTATAGTTGGTATGTACATGTAAACTGTGACTGAGATTTGGTACAGACAGACACATGGATTAACAGTTAGGAGGTAAACTTCTGATTTTTACAGTTATTCATGATCATCCCAACATATGACATTAACAAACAAAAACGAAGTGCTAAAATTTCATTTAACATCTGGTAAAAATCACTAACTGAAACTTGTTACAGACAGACTGACAAACAGAAGGGTAAAACTGTTTTACCCTCATCTACTACTGAATAGGGGTATAATAAATTAAGAATAAAAAACATGTTTAGTTGATTACACAGCATGAAATGTCATGATATGCCGTTTTCGACCATGTTTGATAAATATTTTAAGCAAAATATTATGAATATTCAGAGTTAAAAAAATAACTAATATCAAATTCAAGGGCAGACATATTGTTAGATCACCCTAAACCCCTTATAGCCCATACACCCCCCCTCCCACCCAAACACAAACACAAAGACTATACACATGTGGAAAATATAAAAAATATACAGTTTGATGTGATACATATATCCTTAATTTAAATTGATAATTTGCTTAGATATCTATATGGGGGAAAAAATTATAAACATTAATGTTTTTGAACAATTTAATATTTAATTTGAATTTGGTATGAAGTGTAATTATGTCAATGCCTTCAAATTTAAAACTCTTCATACTTATTAATTGATCAAGGACCCATTTGCTCACCTGAGAACTATGGCTAGGCAAAAATCAAATTGTGATCAGAAAATCTCACATGAGCTTTCAGCTAAGGTGAGCTAAAAGACTTTTTCCTTTTAATCTGAGACACAATCTAACAGGTGCTAGATAGCTTACGCACTTCTTTGAAGTAATCTTAGGTGCAAGTTAACTGAAAAATTGATTTTCTATATAAATGCACATTTGCTTGATTTCAGCCAGACAAATTGCACTCAAGACAGTCTGTCCATTGTCTACTTGGTAAATATACACTAGATAATTTTTTTCAAATTGTTTATTTCTCCATTTTTTAAAAGACCCCACTTCAACATGTGCATGAGTTTATTAAGCATTGCACTGTGGTCTACATTATACCTATCATTTGAATGGCCTAGTGCCCTAATTGTATGTAATAAAATGTTTATCGAATTTTGCTTTTATTTCTGGTACTAGTGTCTTAAATATACATATACTTTCTTTTAACTCTCCAAAGAAGGATGTGTATAGAAATACTGACCTCGCTTTCACTGCCAAAAATTCAGAAATGAAAATGTAAGGTAGCTGAAAAGGGCTTATTTTAAAGAAGAACATCTTTATACTAGCATTAAGGTATGTGTTGTTTAAGTCTAAAGGGGACAAAAAGTAAATACTCTCTGAAAAATAATAAATTAAAAAAAAAAGTATTTGTATGATGAAAGGGAATACTTAAAATAATAGTGCACACATCGTGCTTACCTGTACTCCATACTCTGTCTATCAAAAACAGTACAAAATTCATGAAAGCTGCATATCCTCTTTATGATAATTGTTGCATAATTTTTATCAAAACATGAAGAAAATCACAAATGCTCAATATCCTAAGTCAAATGGTAACGTTTGAGGCTGACTGGACTTATGTGAAAGAAATCATACATTGATAAAATAACTTTAAACAGAGAGGTCATTATGATTCTTGACCTAAACTCCGTTCAAGGTCACTTGCACATCAATTGGCTAGTGGCACTCTGTGAGTGGAGTATGAACCACGTTGGACCAAGGAGAGAGAAAACATGCTCCGGACAAGGAGTTTTCATATAATTCTGCTTTAACCTTAACCTTACACCTAGAAATATAGTTCAAGGTCATTGCATACGTCTTATCCAGAAATACTCTGTGGTAAAGTAGTAAGCAAGATTGGGCCAAGGAGAGACAATATCTGCTCCAAAAATTATATCCTGGACAGACAGATGGATGAACAGAACGACGGACGTCCAGACTAATCATTAGGAGTGCGGTCCTAATTATTGTATAACTTCTACCTATAAACTATTGTTAAATAAATGTGAAATTCTCTAAAAAATTGTGAAATTGAACTTAATTTTAATGAAATCCATGTTTCTTGATTTTCTTTAATCAATTTCATTTTGCCACATATACATGCTCATCAGTGAAAGATAAGGAATTAAAAAACATATTCTTCGTACCTAAAACAATATACATCCCATAAGCACAGACTTCCAGTGTTTGATTTACAAATGGATTGATCACACAGTGGCACACAAGTTTGTTAGGCTCACTACACTGGCTGGCAAAAGCTGAACAGTTCTTTCTTTGAGAAGCTTTGTTCCATTCTGATTCACTGGTTGGACAGTTTGGAACAATATCCATAGTTTGTCTTGATACTGGACAGGAAACACTGTTACATTTGACTTCCTGTGAAAGAAGCTTAAGAAATTGAATTAAATTTAAAATAAAAAAAAAGACTTCATTGCTTTCTGTTTAAAATTTCCTTAAAATGAGCGTTAAATATTTAGGGGGGGGGTTTGTTCTTTTTTTTAAGGCATAGGTTGATATTTTAAAACCCACTATATTAAACATGGTACCAAAAGAATGCACAACTTCATGTACATACATGCAAAGTTTAAATAATTTATCTAAAATTAGTAGATTGGATTGTATTATATAACAAACACACTAATGAGTGAATGAAAACTTGGAGAGAAGTGATTTTTTTCCCTGTGGACTGTGGCTTTATATATCCATATATGTAGATATATTATACATGTGAATTGTAAACTTTTCAGATGTTATAAATTATACACTTTTAGCAAAGTAATTTAATTTGTCCATCCATGGCACTTGCTTGTATAATTTTACCAAGTGTAAATGTGCACTGTATTCACAAGTATACATTTAATTCTTCAAGGTGCATTGGGTATGGACAGAAGGGTAACAGATTGGGTTGTGTGCACATTTTGAAGATAATTGTATCTACTTTCATCTTTATAGATGTCAAATATTTTTATTCTCATTTATATAACCCTCAAATGGATTTGAAGAGAACATACCAAGGAAATTCATACTTTTTCCTGTTAATGTATATAAAAAAGAAAACTTAAGAATATGTATAGAAATCTAAGTTAACAAACTACATGTAGTACATGTAAGTATTTAGAGATAATAGAATGAATATATCAGAGTATAAGATTCAAATTTCAAAAATTTAACAGAATGACAGCTAGGTGTAGTTCCTACAACACAAATATTTAATAATACGCCCCAGCTGTTTAAAAAGACTGTTTATGTTTCGGTACACTTTTCAAGTTAGGTTGACAATAACGTATATATATATATATATATATACTTAGGAGTTGTAATTTAAACCCCAACTTGATAGAGCATGTTATCATTTTATATCTGTGTCTGGGACATCCACTTCAGAATTACATTTGGAAAAGTTTCAAATTGAGAAAAAAATGCTATGCTTTAATGATTTCAATGACCTTCGCAACATACATCATATCCTTTTATATATATATATATATATATATATATATATATATATATATATATATATATATATATATATATATATATATATATATATATAATTGCATTTGTATTGCGAGCACCCCCTTAAGTTTTAATTTAATGAAATCGATATTATAGTCTTATATATAAATTATAATACTAAAGTATACCTTCAGTATCAGAAAATTGATCATCAAGGCTTCCAATATCACTGCAATGATAAATTTTTATTGAATTAATTTGATAATTATACAATGCTTGATAATTTTTTTGAATAAGGACACTATTAAAAATATTCGTGTATTATAGTGCATAGTAATCTTTTTCTTAAAAATGTTTTCAAGATCTGTGACATCATTTTTATAGTGATAAAATGTGAAAACTTCAACATGTTCAACATATAAGAGGAGTAAAGTAAACCTTGTAATTTTTTGTAACAGGAAATTCGAAACAACAAAGAATCCAAGTTGAAAATACATGTAAATAAACCACTTTAAAATCAAGGTGACAAGTACAAATGAAAGAAGAACATTTACTTATTAACACCTTACCAACCCCTAAATTATTGCCAAAAAGAAAGTAGAATCATAAGAATGCGTAACTATTTCTTATTTAATCAAGAAAAGCGTCAGTATAACTCTCTTCTGAAATATACTTCATATAAGCTGCCAAATTAAAACCCGTCATTACCAGGGTTCTCCATGAGCTGTTTTACAGTGTTGCTCCCGAAACAGTAAAATTTTCTCCGACACAGTAACGATTCAAATTTTATGCACGCAACACAGTAAAAATTTTGCCGACACAGTAAGATCTGTGATAATTAGAAAATCTAAACAAACAAATTCTCTCTAACTGAGACTTTAATTAAACAATTATATCTTCTTTTAATTACAAAAGTTAGATCACTTAAACACTAGGGCTTCACCTTGCATAAACAATTATCTCCTAGACCCTCACCGGACTTTAGACATGACGGAACAAAGACAAATAATTTGTTTTCACACCTCCATGTAAGGGTTAATTGGTAGTTGCAATAAAATACATTGTATTATTTTTTTTAAAAAATATTTCAATATCTTTTCTATAGAGCCACGGCTCTAGAATTATTCTAGCACTGTAAGTCAGAATTGTAATCGTATTGAAGTCATTTACTTGATGTGAATAAATTGCTTAAAATTTTGAACATGTTCAAGGAACTCTTAAAATATTTTACTGTTCTGAAGTTTCTTTCTTTTGTAATGTGATAACTCAATCAAGAAAACTGATAAATAATCACTGCAAATTTACTTTCAAAAATATTAAGTAGTACGACTGTATCGGTCAGAATTTCCTCCACTTTTCAGAACGTGTTTTTACGTTTATCAATATGTATGACCATACCATTTTTGTAGCTAATTAGCGATTTTTAAATGTGTGTGCATGTATTCTTTTGTAATTTTCATTAAGCTTAATAGTGATTTAGTTGCGAATTTGATCGCGAAAATACCGCGAAATTTCAGTTCTTCGCGTTAACTCTGCAACACAGTAACATTTCAAATGATGGGGAACCCTGCATTACATTTGACTTTTACTAAATTAGGCCCTTTCATTTTCCTCCTTTCAGAGTTTTCGTGATCGCTGATTGGTCTCACATGGAAGTCTTCGAACTAAAAAGTATTCCCCACCATGATGACTCATTGTTTACCCGTTTCGTCAATCAACTGAGATACCTCGTGTGTTCGCTAAAACAAGAGGCCCAGGGGCCACATCGCTCACCTGAGATAATCGGCTAGGAAAAAGCACAAATCAAATCATTACTGAAAAGTTTACTGAAAGGGGGGTTTGAGTGGGGGGCTTGCATTTTAATACTACTTGAGAATGCCTTCATATTAATACAGCATATAGCTTTGCTTTTCTTAATTAATTAAAAGATTTTTTAAAAACATTTTCTTCCTATATATAACTTCATGATACACTGTAAATTGAATTTGATTCCCCATTGTTTCTGTCACTACCCCAAAGGGTCATGATTTGAATAATTTAAATCTTCAATCGTGAGGATGCTTACATATCAGTTTGACTAAAGAAAGCTTTTCTGTTCTTGGGATTTTTCCCTTTAATTAAGGTCTTCCATTTCCAACGGAAGACTTTCTACTGATTCTGTTGGTAAAGATTATTATACCCGCACTTTCTAAAGAAAGTTCGAGTATATTGTTGTTACTCATGTACGTCCGTCCGTCCGTCTGTCACACTTTTCTTCCCTGAACTCCTCCTACATTTTACACAGTAGCTTAATCATCTTTTAAGAGATGGTTGGTGGTGTCATGTAGATGTGCAGTAAGCTTTCGGAATTTTGATTTTGCCCTGGGGGGTCAAATGGGGGTCTTAAAATGACGTTTTTTATGCAAAAAGCCCCGTCTTCCCTGAACTCCTTCTACGTTTTACTCAGCAGCCTAATCATCTATTGGAAAATGGTTGATTGTGTCAAGTAGTTGTGCAGTAAGGTTTCGGAATTTTGATTATGCCCTGGGGGGTCAAATGGGGGTCGAAAAATGACGTTTTTTAATGCAAAAAGCCTCGTCTTCCCTGAACTCCTTCTACGTTTTACTCAGCAGCCAAATCATCTTTTGTGGGATGATTGGTGGTGTCATGTAGATGTGTAGTAAGGTTTCGGAATTTTGATTTTTGCCCCGGGGGGTCAAATGGGGGTCGACAAATTATGTATTTATGCAAAAAACCCCGTCTTCCCTGAACTCCTCTTACATTTGACTCATTAGCCGAATTATCTTTTAAGAGATGTTTGGAGGTGTCATGTAGATGTGCAGTCAAGTTTTGGAATTTTTGATTTTGCCTTGGGGGTCAAATTGGGGTCGAAAAATGATGTTTTTATGCAAAAAGCTCCGTCTTCCCTGAAGTCCTCTTACATTTAACTCAGTAGCATAATCTACTAAGAGATGGTTGGTGATGTAGATGTTTGAATTTTCATTTTGCCCGGAAGGGGGGGGGGGAGGATGGTGTCAAATGGAGGTAGAATTTTTTTATATATATATATATTTGATATGTTTAATCACCCTGTTTTCAAGAACTTTCCTAATATGTTATGCAATAGCTTTAAACCATGATCATTTGGAAAATGATTGGTTTGTTTTCCATATGTGTAAAATGGTTTCAAAATTTGAATTTTCATGTGGATGGCAAAAAGGGGCAGGAAAAAAATGGCCCCTCCCTAACCCGGGGGTCATGATTTGTACAAACTTGAATCTACACCTCTTGAGAATATATGCATATTAATCATGCTCTTGTTGTTCTTGAAAAGAAGAATTTTGAAGATGTGTTTCCTTCTATTCCAAATAAAACTTTGATCCCTATTTGTGGTATTAGTGTATAAAATTTGATGAAAATAGCTTGAACAGTTTCTTTAGAATTGAAACTAAAATCTAAATAAATTGGATATAGATATTAAGTTCTCACCAAATTATGTATAAGTGCATGCTAAACATAAAAATGTCTTAAATTATTCCTTTAAAACTAAACAAAATAAAAATTAAAGAGGAGGGAGGTTAAGGTCACAGGAAGTGCAAGGTGAAGATTTTGATGCAGTTGAATAGCTCTCACTAATACATATCAGCATATTATGTTTGATAAAATATCTTGAATGATTTAATGAAACTGAGCTTAACATTTTTTTTAAGAAATGAGAGGTCAAAGGAAAGGTTGGGGTCAAAATGTTGTTGCTGTTGAAAAGCTTATATCAGTGTTAATTTACTATTAGCATATGAAGTTTGATAAAAATATAATTAATGGTTTCTTTAAAACATAGATAAACACATATTTTTAAAAGTGAGGTCAAGGTCAAAAGAAAATTAAAGGCCAAAATAAGTTTATGCATTAATAGCTCTCAGCAGTATGTATTAGTGTATAAAGTTTGACAAATATATCTTGAATTGTTTATTCAAAACTAATCTAGACATTAATTTTAGAAAAATGAGGTCAAGGTCACAGGAAATGTCAATGTAAAAAAAGTGAAGCATTGTAAAGCTTACATAAGTATGTATCATCATGTGAAGTTTAATTACACAACTTGAATGGTTTCTTTAAAATAAAGCTAAACACTAATTTTAAGAAAAGTTAAGTGAAGGTCAAAGGAAAAAAAATATTGCTGCAGTTGGATAGTTTACATCAGTATATGCATGAACATATGAACTTTGATAAAAATATCTAGAAAGTTTCTTTGAGCTCGATGGAAAGACAGATGGAAGGGTGGAGGACGGACATGACAAAAACTATACATGTATTCCTAATCATGACGTGGCATAAAAACCTTGAATCTACATTACATGAGGATGTTTCAATATCAAGATTATACAAGCAAATTCAAAGAATTGTGGTCCTCTGCTTTCTGTGTTTTAGTGAATAGGATGCCATAATTTATGGCAGATTGTGTGTCAAATATGCACCCCTATCATATGTCAACTTTTGAAAATTAGGTCAAAGGGGAAAAATCATAGCATGCTTGGACATATTTTGTTGCAGGTAATGCACATGTCAGATATGAAAGTCCCGTCTCTTTTCAATCAAAAGTTATACAACTGTATATATATAAATATATAATATAATATTTTTGAAAAGTAGGTTAAACTTCTAGGTCAAGGTCACAGAGTCAAAAGTCATGATATATTTAGAAAAGTCTTTTCACATGTAATATATATGCATAATTTAAATGTCCTATCTTTTCTCTTTCAAAATGATTAATTTAAAATGATATTTTTTGGAAAGTAGGTAAAACTTTAAGGTCAAGGTCTCACTTGGGTTAAAAAATCATAGTACATTTAGAAAGTTTTGTGCTAATGTACATGTGAAATATGAAAACCCTATCTCTTATTATTCAAAAGTTATGACCAACTGAGGTTAAAATTATTGTGACAGATGCACATACTGTCAAAGATGGACAGACTGAAAGACAAATAAGATTTAATGTTCCCTCCCTTTCCCAAAAACGGGAGACAATAATGTCCTTGCTGTTCTCGAGAAGAAGATTTATGATGGAAAAAATCCCCTGCATATTTCTTAACGCAAATATCAATATTGTGTTTTTATGTCATTGTTTGTTTGTTGTTAAACATCCCTCTCAGGAATTTTTCACTCAAATGGAGACACCACCACTTGAAAAATAATGAGGACAAGTCAGATTTGAGGTCAACATTCATTTTAGGAGTTTTCATCCATTAAGTC